AAGAAACAAATGAACCAAAAAAATGAGATAAGTGGAAGGCACAACCCAAACCCAGGGCTTGTAAGTCCCAAATCCATGCAATATGTGACTCATAATAATCGGAAGGCTGTGTCATTAATCAGTGGGGGGGCGGGGAGTGAATGGAATTAAGCTTTCAAAAGAGGAAAATTATTGCTGTTAATATTTATTTTGAAAGATGACTAAGTAGCAGGAATATTGGATCACATCATTATGACCTTTGGGGAAGATGGTTTCAGGAAAATAGACAGAGTTATCTCCTATAGCCTGCAAGTTTGTTTGCAGTTGCTGTGGAAGCACTAAATAGCATGCTAATTAAAAATGAATCATCCCAGGGCAGGGGGCAGAACCTGGAGTATATACTGGTATAAACTTGGAACAGGGCTATTTTGAGCAATTGGGGCTAAAAGCTGATGCCCTGATAAGAGGTGGATAATGACCTTTCTAATATTATTTTCATGTTTTAATTATTTTTCAAGAAGGATTAAGACACCAACAAAGTACTTCTATTTTTAATGGCCTATATTCTGAAAGTGTTCCCCTATTGGAATACTAATGAATGTTTTTCTTGATTGGAGGCTAACAGGTTTTGGAAGACTATAAATATAATAAAAGGGCCTTAATTACTAATGGCTCATGTGTAGATTGCCATTAGCAAATAACTCAGGCCTTCTCAGCAAAAATTATAAAGGAGAGTGTGCTAAGCTCAAATTCTGTTTCTTCTCCCCATCCACACTTGCAGCTTTCTGTATCTTTCCCAAGAACCCTCCCCAGTTATTTCTGGGACTTCCCACTACCTCCCATGTGCCATATAAGAAAGGGGCCTTTGAGGGATGCATTGAGTATGGGGATAAGAAGTACCTGAAGATCAATTTATGACTCTAAGTTGGTCTCTTTAAAATTATTGATCCCATTATAAATACCAATATGGTTTCGTATGTTTGTCATTTATGCAAGCACTACTGTACTATAAATACCAATGATCTTTAATTAGTCATTCATCTCTGTATTTTTCAGTGCAAGCTATGTTGATGATATTAAAATATCATCATAACTCTATGATGTGGCATAACTCTACCACATTTTACAGGTGATTAGTACCTGGGTTGCCTGCACACCCAACCCTTAACATGGATACAGTGGACTCCCTTTCTTCTATGAAAACTTTCTAGAATATAAGCCCATGTTATTAGGTTTAGAGTATGCTTAATTACATTAAATATTCACAGGAGTTTGGAAGAGTTTGGAAACAAAGGTTTCCTAGAATAAAGGATTCAGGGAAAGTTTTTGGCTGGGGGAACAACATGGAACAGTGTTACTTCATGGTAAGATCTTGTACTGTATCTCATGGGATGAGGTAAAAGGAAATCAGGTTTTGAAAAGCTACCAACATTCCTGTATTATGTAAAGAGAAGGGATTTTAATGCTGAGCTATAATGAGTTTTAACCTAGGCAGAGGTATCACTAGATTTTCATATTAGACAGTATGCTCTTCCTGCTCCATTCCCTGACAAAAACATGACCTCAAACAGCCATGGCTCTACACCAATGGAATACATCCTTTTCTAAAGAGGGGATCTAAAAGTCTTCTCAATGTTTGTCGTGCCTACACTGTGCCTGGACAAGTGCTGAACATTACCGGGATGGATGGGAGTGCCTACATCTCAAGTCCTACTTGCTGGGATTGGTGCAGAGAGGATGGATTGAGGAAAACATTTGCAAGAGGAAACAGGAAAGCAGTTCAGCAGAGGCTAGCCATTCACTCTTAGTTCATATACCTGAAGATATGGTGATGGCTTCATTGCTGTCAGCAGGGTTGAGGAGATACACAAGCAGACATTCAATCCAGAGGGTTTTAAAAGCAAAAACACTGCTTTATGGGAGGAAGCCTACCAAGTTCTGTGTGCACTCACTAGGAAAACGGTACGTAACTCCAGACATTATGAAACCCTGCCTCCTATCCTTCAACTGTCCTTGCTCAGAATCCTTGGTTGCTGATTTCAGTTCTGGCAACAATACAAAACCCGAAAGACCAAGGGGACAAAAAGACAAAGATATTAGGTGCCAGACTCTCTCAGAGCTTTGCATTTTGTATCTTTTTTTGGTAACATAAACAGAGATGTCTGCTTTTGGGAATCGTACCTGCCTTATAGGACACAGTGTCCTCTGGGTCTCTGTCTGTCTGTTTTTCTTCTCTGTCTCTCTGTCTTTTTGTGTGTGCCTTTGGTGGCTGCATATCTCTCTTCAGAAAGAAGAAACTCTCCAGTTTCTACTTTCAGCAGCTTCTGTCTCTGTGACAATGATTTCCAAATTTTCCTTCCTGAGATCTTTAGAATGGGGATTTTCAACCTGGTCTGCCCAGCTGCCTTCAGCTCTTTCTACTTGGATGACTCCCTTGGGTGACTCTTCAAGCTCAATATGGCCAAGATATACTCACATCCTTTCGTTACACTGCTTAAAACAACATTCCTTTCCAATTTTTCTACTGCTCTCCTGGCACCACAAGTTTCCTTGTTCCAACCTTGGAGTTACATAACTAACAGATGCTTGTCTATTGCTTCCAACTCAGCAGTCAACAAATCCCAGGGATTCTTTTTTCAGAGTCAAGTTCTGGCTCTTTTTCCACAGCCACCACCAATTCTAAAGCACCCAAGAGATTTTCTGCACCAGTATTGATGCCTCCTAAATGGCCGATTACCATCAAGATTTCTCTACCAAGTGGCCAGTCTTCTTAGATTCCTGTTACTGATAAATTTGATGCTATTGCTCCAACAAAGAGCATAGAATTGTTTGTAAAATAATGAATAAAAAACTCAAGTGTAATGTTGTTTATTAACTCCTTTTTTTTTTTAAGAAAACCCTTTTACTGTTTTTACACTCTTGAATAAATAGAACCATACTTTTGTATCTATAGGGATTATTCCAGGATCCCCCTTGAATACAGAATTTAAACTCCCTTATATAAGATACCATTACATTTGCATTACCTGCACATATCCTAATAATTCAAATCATCTTTAGATTACTTATAATAGCTAGTACAATGTAAATGCTATGTGAACAGTTGACATATTGTTTAGAAAAAATGAGGGATAGAATTCTTTCTTCTCATTACGGATGAAAAATATTTTTTCATGTATATTTTCAATTCAACAATGGTTAAGTCTGAGGATATGGACCCAGAAGAGCCAACCATGTTCTGTACTTACACAGTTATTGAATTAATGTGCTGTAGCTCACCACTGTCTGCCAGGCAAGAATAGAAGTGTTATAGTCTACCTTTGTATTCCTGTTTATAAATATGAACGTATTTATGTTTCTTTAAAGCTCAGTAGCCCAGTGGTAGAATATCATTGCTTGCAACAGTATCATTAGTATTACAACAAAGTGTGACAATGTAGGTAAAGAAATATATTGTAAAAGTCTTGGGGAGACAAGTGAGACTAGGAAATAATTTAGAAGTTATTATTATTATTATTATTTTGTTACCATGATAAGTATTTTGATCGAAGGAACTTAAGGGAAATGGGGCTTTTGGTTTGTTAAAATATAGGGTCTCACTATGTAGCCCTAGCTGGCCTGAAACATCACATACAGGCCAAGCTAGCCTTGAAATCATAGAGATCTGCCTGCCTTTCCTGGAATGAAGGGTATGCATCATATTATTGAACTTCATAGAAAGGGTTCATTCTGACTCACAGTTCAACGTTGCAATCAGTCATGGTGGGGAAGCATCAGGAATGGGTTGCATTGCTAGCAAGCAGAGGGATGTGTTGAGTTCTGCTGCTGAGTCGTCCCTTTACACATACGCAGTCTGGGTTTTTCCACCTCAGTTAGCCTAATCAAGATAATCCTCATGGGCATGCCCCAAGGCCTGGATCTCAGGTAATTCTAGATTCTGTCAAATGGACAACCTTACTATAACGAAACCTATTTAAGTATGGGCTACATCCTTGATGGTTTGCCCTTTCCCATCAGCAAGGGACATCTCTCATATCTCTTACACACACTTCCCTTTCGCCAGCTTCTATGACTCACTCTTAATTGCTTCTACCCTTTCTCCTCCAAGGTCTGTGCTAAGTAGAATTCAGCTTTCTTCCAAGTTGACTCAGACTAATTTCCCTCAAGCTTTTCTGGTTACTTCATCTTGTTTATCTCCTCCTCTCAAGACTTCACAATCTTATTTCTTAAGCAGAAAGTTGGCACTACACTCCAGGATATAGGTCCCCAAACGTAAGTGCATGTTTACGTCATCCTATATGACATTCAGCAGCATTAGCTCAGGACCTAGAATCCTACGAGGCCTGAATGAACCACTTTGAAAACATAGTATTAGATTTCTGGGCATTGCTTTTATTTCTCTAAAGAGGTTGTGAGCAGCCTACGGTGTCTAGCCAAAGTTATATGTACCTGTCTACATTGCTGGATGCCTTGGCTCCAGGGGTGACCCAGATTTGTGACTCCTAATAGACCCATCAGGTAGAATATTAATGACACCCAGGCTAAGAACAGGGCTGGCCAAATGTTCAGAACGCATTATAAAGGAGGAGAGCAAGTCCTGAGGACTGTCTCACTTAAAGTTACCAGAAGTCCTAGAGGTAATGACATTTTCTGTCCTCTGCCATCACCTCAGATAACCCTGTTGCATTTTAAAGGCATTAGGCTTTCAGAGACTGCTAGATGGAAGCTCTGCCGTTCAATAGATCCCAGAGGGAGCCCGGGGGAAGTCGCTACATTCAAGACCATTGCCTTTACCCTCCTAGTTCTAAGGGATTCACCCTGAGCCAAAATGGGACAGTAAGATCACCAGGAGTAAAAAGAAAAGAAAACTTGGAATTAATACACGTAGCCTTCTCGCTGCTCACTCTGCAGGAAGGAGCCAAGGGGAGTGGCCGCGGCTCGGGGGCGGAGCTTGGGCGACTCGGGGGCGGGGCGTCCAGGCGGCGACGCGCTGACGTCACGGGCGTGGGTCGGCCCGGCGCGTCGTCGACGGGACGCGGATCGCGGCCGGTGGGGTCTGTAGCCGGCGGGTCGGTGTCCGCTCGCTCGGCTCTTCGCCTTCTGCCCCGACGAGGCGTACCTGGCCGGGCTTCCGCAGTCATGCTGCGGGCGGCGCGGCTGGCGCGGCCCCTCTGAGTCCCGGAACGGCGGCGAGCGCGACGGGCTCGGGTCGCCATGCCTACCCGTGAGTGTCGGGCCGGGTCGGGCTGGTCGGGCAGCGCCGCCAGGAAGCGCCGGTCCGCCCCGAAGTAGTTTCATTTAGACTTGAGCGTCCCGTGGGAGGGGAGCGCAGGATCCCAGTGCACACTCAGGGAAACTGAGGCGAGGACGTTACGGGAACTGACGGCGGCCCGCGGTGACGGCGCGGTAACGGAGACTAGTGCGACCCGGGAAGCGCGGGCTGGTGAGCCTGCCGCGCGGCCCAGGGCGACTGTGAAGAGCACTTTGGCTCCGAAGTCGAGGCCTGAGCTGCCTTAGTGGGTCAGAGGGACTGACGGGAGCCCTCCCTGCAGAGGCCGGACTGCCCCAACAAGTGTCAGCCTGACCACCCCTCGGCTGAACGTGGGTTTGGCTTGCCCGCCTGCTGTGGGACCTTGGCTCCGCTTAAAGCAAGTGTCCCAGGTGTCCCAGCTGTCCCAGCTGTCCCAGAGGGACGCCAGGTTTGGAGATGACCCGGTAGTGGAGGCTCTGGGAGAGACACTTTATACTACAAGGCACTACGGTGCTACTAGTGACCCAGATCCTCGCGGGGAGACTTTAAACCACTAGCCCACATGGATTACGTGCTAATTGGGTGCTGTTGTCGGACCCAGAGATGGCATGATGCTGGCGATGGAGGTCTTTGCAAAAAGGGCTCCCTTTAAGTGTGTCCTTCACAAGAGTGACTTGTGAATGTTTTTCTCAGAGTTCCTAACCTGCTCTGCTTGGTTTCTATAGACAAACAGGGTGCGGGATTTCTAGGTAGCTTCAAATGCACATTTTTTTTTTTTTCCCTAGTGTTGGGTAAGGAATTCTTTCTTAATAATAGAATGGTTTACCTCATAGCTGTGTCAAATCTTTGACCGTAATATAAACATCACTTCAACCCCTCAAACGACAAGTGTGCTTTATTTTATTCTCACGTTATTGTATTTCTTACTTTATATTTCTATTTGATTCATCCAGCCTGGAGAAATATACTCTGCCATCGTGTTCATGATCATTATTGTCAGTTTATTGTTTTTTATACCCCTGTTATTCGATTATTTGAAATTAGCACTGTGCCAATCTTTCTCTGAGAAAGCAAAAGGGAGAGGATAAACTACTGGTCTCAAAAGATGAGACTTGATGTGGCCTGTCTTGGTAAAATGCCCCCCCCCCAACAACATTCTGTAAAATTACTAAGCTTCTAGTTATGTGCTAGCATTATCTAGTTTCCTAGAGAAAATGCTGAAAACTTATATTTTTTAGGATGTTTTGTTTATTTACTCTGTCCAGTGAGTTTTAAATGAGCTCTGGTGTCAGATTGCATGCCATGAATGGAAGGTCAAGAGAAATGTTTATGTATCATTCATCATATTTGTTGCTGTACATCTCCTGTAATTGAAAGTAGATACTGATATCGGCAGGGATTCTGATCTGAAACGGTAGCTCTGGCTTTTTTCTTTTCTGATGGCCAGGGCCCTCAAGATGTTTGTCATAACTTCAGTAGGCAGGAATGCTTCTTTGGTGTTCTGTGTCTAAGGTAGACTCCTTACATACTAAGTTTATAAGCAGAGATTGTGACACAGTCACTGTATTATGGATGCTTTTAGGAAAAGAAATTAGTTCTCATAAGCGTTTTAAAAATGTTAAGTAGTGAAAAGGTTTATTTACATGCTCAGTCAGTTAGCCTTTTAAGTGTTTTAGCTTATGAACTGTAATGCTTTTCTATGAAACTGCAGGGTTGAAGAGGATCACTCTAGTCTCTTGGGTTCTAGAATTCTGTAAGCAGCTCACAGATAAATAATTCTATTGTTGTTTTTGTTGTTTACTTGGAATTGAAGTGACATTGATAGTGGAAGCCAGCTTCACATGCTGGAGCCATGCTGGCCAAGTTGTGTGTCTGATGAATGTTGCTTCTGTGGAGTTGAGTGAGCCAAGGACTTTTTGAGAAAGTAACTGGAAGGATGTCTGCCAGGAAGGTTTGACCCAGAACAGTTCTTGTCCTTGTTATTCTGTGTTTAGCCTGTGTTTGGCTGGCTCACTTCAGGACTGGCATTAGATGATCTTTCAAACTTAGATTTAATAAATTTCTGTTAAGCTTTTAATTTCAAAGGGTTTCAAATTTTCTGTCAGTATCTGAGTTGGAAGGAAAATTGGCATTTCTTAGTCCAATTCTTTTATTTATTTTTGAAGATCAGGAGGCTGAGGCATAGATTTTTTTTTTTTAATCACTCTTGTTTTGAGATAGTGGCTCATTATATAGAGCAGGTTAGCCTAGAACTTGTGATCCTTCTGCCACTGGTAAAGGGTTGTAGAAATGTACTATCATGTGTAAAAGTAAATTTGATTCGTCAGATGCAATTGTTTTGGAAGCTTACTGCCTCTGTCTGCTAACCTAGGCCTATTCCTGGAAGCTTCTAGCCTCTGTACAATCTAACCTAGGCCTAGATGAGTTCAGCCTTGTAGACTTAGTGCTTAATAAGCTCATCCTTTCTTGTTCTTACTAAGCTCTTGGCTGGCTGGTTCAGCTCAGCTGTTCTGGCTCAAACTCGTCTTCCAGCTGACTTATTCAGTCTGGCTTTTTTTTCCTCAAGCCTCTGAATTGTTCTACTTGGCTTCAAACTAACTCCAACAATCTTTTCTACTCTTCTGGCTCCTTGTTCTCTTGGTGGTTCTCTCTCTACCTGTTTCTAGCTTGTTCTGTCATTCAACCCCTCTCTAAAACTCTCTTGGTAAAACTACATTCTCTTTCTCTCTCTGACTGCCGTTGCCCTTTAAGTAGCTTCCCTTTCTTCTCCTTGTGAGAGTAGGCGTATTCTGTTTTGTCAAATTTCTCATTTGTCACCTTTTCTGCCACTCAAATAGACATCACTTTAAAACATGGGTGCTTCCTTATACAAACTAACTTTACCTTCATTGTTTGGGATTAAAGGCATGTACCTTGCCTGGACCTAAGCTTTTCCTAACCTGAAACCTGTTCTATATCAGGCTAGCATTGAACTCAGATCTATTTGCCTCTGTCTCCTGGATTAAAGGTGTGCTTGTATTCCAGCCAGATCACACAGACCTGGAAGGTCTTTGGATGTGATCTCTTGCCAGAACAGCTATGTTCTGAATTAAAATTCCTCTACAATCATGTGTGGGTTTTATGAGTTTTGATGACTTCCCCTAGGTCATAAATGGAGTAGAACACTTGATCTGCCCCCTTTAACCAGTATCCACATTGTACATAAATAATGTCTATTTTTCTTTAGCCAAAGTTGAATAAACCATTTTAGTTTGTTTCTGTTTGAGTTACATTAAGACAAAAATATAAATTTTGCCAAATTTCTATGAAAATTTTTGTAAACTTACTCATTTGTTTATAAAAAAGTTCATTGTTTGTCTGGACTTCAGGCTTGTCACAGGAATCTGGGAAGAAGGCTATGATTCTGCAGGTGTGTAAAATAGATAAATCATCATAAAGGCATGGATTTAAAGTCTTAAACAACGGGCTTCTATGGAAGAGGATTTTTTTTTCCTCCTTTTTTTTGGTTCATCCACATCTCATGCATGAAACAGGTCCAATAAAATATGTTCTTATATATGAGAAATTTTTAGATATGAGCTGGAGGAATTCAAACACTGTTAAACTATATTTAGTGTGGGGCTGATGCTTCCTTTTGACACTTAGACTTCAGCATTGACATCTGGTTAGGTCTGTTAGAGTGTAGTAATGTGGGCATCCCCTGTCCTTAAAAAAGGCTAATTATATTTAACTATTTTCAGTGTCTTACAGATGAAGCACAGAATGAATCCTGAAGGATGGGTAATAAGTGAACTTTTTAGAAACATATTAAATGCTGTGTTAGCTTTATATTACTGTGACAAACCTGAGGAAAAATAGCTTGGAAGATTTAATTTGACTTGGGGTGTCAGAGGTGTCAGTCCATAGTCCACTGAATCCTTGCTGTTCGTCCTGTGGAAGGACAGAAACACCATGGTCAAAAGGATGGTAGAAGGTAGAAGATAGCTTCACAGGAAAGCTGCTCACCTTTAACAGCCAGGGAACAGAGACGTAGAGGAAGCATCCAGAGGTCCTGCCCACAGTTACCTACTTGTGTTTTTCAGTAATTCAGTCAGATGTGACTTTGTCAGTGGATTAATCTGTTTTTTACATTAATGCACTCATGTTCCAGTTGCCACTTTGAAGTTCACCAGCGAGCAACTGAGCCTGTGGTGCTTAGTCTTACCAATTTGACAAAATCTGGAATCAACTGGAGGATGGAAATACTAGTCCACTGTGAGTGGAATCACTTCTTTTGCAAGGGATCCTGGCTTGATTAAGGAAGATTGCTGAACCCCAGCATGCATTTATCACTCTCTGCTTTCTCATTATGCATACAACATATCAGCTGTTTAAGAATTCTGTTGCTTTGAGTTTTCTGTCATGAAGGACTATACTCTTGAACTCTGAGCCAGAATAAACCATTTCTTCCCTAAGTTGGTTTGTCAGACTATTTTATCACAGCAACAAGAGAAGAAACTAAGAAAAAGCCTTTTAGCAGATGAGGTCAGTGAACATTTACAATTGAAACCATAAGATGTACAAACTTATGTATTTATATTAATGGCTTTGGAGCCTCTGTGTTCATTCATACTTATATTCTTGTTTGCCCACCATTCTCTCTCTTGCCCTCTTCCATATTTTCTCTTCTTTCCAGCCTTTTTTCCTTCACACAGAGTTGCAGCTGAATTGTTTGTTTGTTTTCTCTCACAGTGATTTTTTTTTTTATCATTTGTTAAAATTTATTCAATTTGTATCCCGGCTGTGGCCCCTTCCCTCATCTCCTCTTATCCTACCCTTCTCCCCCTATCCCACTCCCCTAGTCCACTGTTAGAGGAGGTCCTCCTCCCCTTCTATTTGACCCTAGCCTATCAGGTCTCATCAGGACTGGCTGCATTGTCTTCCTCTGTGTCCTGATAAGGCTGCAGCCTTCCCCCCCCCCCCCCCGGGGGGGC